TTAAAGGTTCATTCGTCGTTTGTCAAGTGAGTTGTGAACAACGTGTTACATTTGATTTTGGAAAACGTGGATCAATAGCAGAAGATATGTATTTTGCAATGGTAGCAATGTCAAAAGGATATCGATTTGGTTGGATTGAAGGTGAAATGTGGGAAAAATCACCATTTACATTTTGGGATTTTATTCAGCAACGTAAACGATGGATTCAAGGCATTATTCTTATTGTTCATGATAGTAAATTACCATTAGGTGTAAGATTTTGTTTAGGAATTGGATTATATGCCTGGCTTACTGTACCCTTAACAACTTCCAATATTTTTCTTACTCCATTGTGTCCCATAGCTCTTCATCCGATTGTCAAACTTTTAGTCGGATATATTGCAGCAGTGACCATTTATCTATATTTACTCGGTGCTGTGAGATCGTTTAGTTTAGCACGTCTAGGCTACTTTCCATTTATTCTTCGTGTTGTAGGTGCACTGGGAACGATACCTATAGTAGCGATCTGCGAATGTATCGCGATTATTTGGGGTGTTCTAACACCCAAAAATAAATTTTATGTTGTTAATAAACAAATCGCACAAATTTTAGTTTAATTCAAAAAAATGAGATATATAAGAGAAACATCGAAGAATAAGCGTAAGTTTAAGGATCTCATAGACATAACATGAACAATAAGAGAATTAAATTTAAATAAGATTTTTTTTCTGAATCGATGATAATATTGAAAATACTGTTTAACTAACATTCATAAAATATTGAAATTAATAAATACAAAACAGAAGATTAAGATTTATTTATATTTTGATTTTATCGGCCTAAAAGATCTAAGTTTTGTACTTATTTTCTTCAATTGATAATCTTGTATAGTAATTTTTTATTTGTGATTTCAACACACAACATTTTTAAACAACTATCACTGAATGTGTATTGAGAGTTTCACTGAACTTTCTACATTCTAAAAAAATCAAGTTTAGAATAAACATCATCTTGTGAATGAGTAATGCGTCTCAAAATATTTTTGTTTTGTAAATGTTTCAAGTGTTATGTATTTAAATATAAAAAAAAAAGGAATAAATTATACTTTAAAAATTAATTACTTAACAAAATAGTTATTAGTGTTTCGTATGATATAATATTTACGTTGTGCATACATTTACAAATGGAACAAATATGTTTCGAAGAAGAATCGATTAGATAGTGAATGTATCATCAAAGTTCGAATAACCAATATTTGCATTGTAATACTGATGTACTGTGGGTGGGCACTTAGAAATGGACATTTGGCAAAAAATAGAAAATGATTTGTTTTCAGATTTAAATAATGATACATATACTTTTAACTATGCTCTATTTAATGATATAAAAAGTTTTGTTACAAATTTGATTGATCGTAGAAAAATCCTATAGCAAAAATTAGTCCGAAAAGCATCCTATGTGAGAAAAAGTTCATTTTTTCTATAAACTAACAACATTTGAAATAAAACCAGACATATTCTGAATTTAGACTCTCTAAGCTGTCCATTTATTAAAAAAATTCTCGTTTCGATCTCTGCGTTCGCAGTAAAAAATTTATCTCCCGAATCAATCGCTTTTCTAAATACATCTTATCAGTATACCATCAGATTGCCACTTTTAGCCTAATGAACCCCAATTTTGTACATATGTCTTCTACATATACTGCACGCATACACATAGCATAAACGTTTCTAGGCCTCGCTATAGGTTTTCCAAAAAATCTTATTTTTTCAGGTAAAATCTATTTTTCTCAGTCCAAGAACACTTTTAAGAAAAAAAATGAGGCGATATTTCGAATCAACACGTTGAGTTGCATTGAATCATGTATAAAACGATAAGTTTTAGATCGAAAAAATATCCACCGATTTTTCCTGAAAACGTTTATTTATTGTTTAAAAGTATCAGACTAAATGACAATAATTATTGATGAAAAGATAATTTATTTATGAGCAAAAAAATTGCTGATGATAAGCGAAAAATATCTACTGTATGATGTACACTTATTAGGGACTGATATAAAGTCGATTCATCATTAGAATATAGTATAAAAAAGAAATTATTTAAAATATATCAGATGTTGAGATGAACATGACCAGAAATCTTATCACATTCTGTTCACCTAAGTTAACACAAACTGAAAGACAAATCTTATTATTTCTATCTACTAATGTTTTAAAAATTAATTTTTACAGATAATTTACGAATGAGAATAATTTGTTATGTAATGTAGACTAGATTTTAATAAAATAAACTTTTTGTTCATATTTTTCAACCACCGTCATAAGAATAACCATTCTAGTAAAGATCATATTTTCTTCATGAACAAAGAATGTAAAAATACTTCTTTTTACTAAATATCTGATACATTTGTGATTTGTGTAACCACTATAGACAACACACAAAATCAATACTTACTGTGAAAATAATATTAAAAAAAAATAATAACGTTACATACGTTAAAAAGGACAAAATAAAAACATAAAAAAAAACAATATGAACAATTGAATAAATGAGATTTACAAAGATAAGAACTGTTCACATTTTCACAAAAAATAATTTAAAAAATTAAATTTCATTTTAGTTTAATTCTCTAGTGAATGAGATAAATGCTAAATACAGAATTCAGAAAAAATGTTGACTGAAAATTGCTGATAGTTAAAATAAGATTTCTATATCTTTAGATAAAAAAAACCTGTGTCTTACATTTCATTTTGTATAACAATTAAATAAATAAAATTGCAATATTATTGGAATTTTTTTTCTTCTCCTATTGTCTAACACTCGATTAATTTATGACAAAAAATTTATCATTCTTCGAAATATTTGATATTCTGAAATACGCGTATGAGAAAACTGACGAATAAAAAAAGAACTTCGCTCCCCCTTCTCCCCCAAAAAAACAAATATCTAATTTAAAAATGTACAAGTTAAAATAGAAAACAAAGTACTACTGTTATACGTCAAATACTGTTTATATTCAAACTGTTTGACAGTATTATCTTATATCTGCAAAGACTATAATGGACAGATAATAAATTCGGAAAATATTATTAACAAGACTGTTTCATTGTATATCAGGAAAAAAAAAATGTCAGTCAGTCTATGATTTAATCAATTGTTTTACCATATTGTCTAGTAAATTAATTGTCTGTTCTACTATGGTTGATGTTGAATTTCTTAATTTTAAATGTTCAATATACAATGGATACAATAATTTATGAAAGAGTATAGGATTAATATATTGTCTTCCTTGTAAAACTGTGAATAGACTACGTTTTTGTGAATAATCAATAATTGATGAACCAAATTCAAATTCTTTTTGTCTCCATTTTAAACCTGTTTTAACAATTTCTCTTAATTGATTTCGATTAAATGAATGCCAATCTGTTGAATAATAAACACTAAGCCCATATAAATTGAGTGGTGGCATCGATGGTGCCATATGAAAATGATTTGTATGAAATGTTTGTGTACATTCGGATGCTAGAAAGAATAGAAATACATTATGTTTCTCTCACTTTAATATATTTTCTATTTTATTTACTTACTAAGAAAGTATATTGTATATTCTGTCCACATTGATCCCCAAATTAAATTAATCAATTTCCAATTAGCTAAACGTATTAAATAATGTTGATGACCATATAAATATTGTAAACGACATAATGCTCGTAGTGCAATTGATCGTGAAAGAATAGCAGGTGTAACACCAATTGTAGGAGATGATGGACTGGATGATGTACACGTATTACTTTTAACTTGAAGAACAGATTCACTAGCAGGCCACCATAATTTTCGATCATCTCGTTCTTCGTATTGATAGAGTGCACGAACAGCAGGTGTATTCAAATTTCCATTTTTTGTTTTCCATAATAAATGTTCAACATGAATTGGCCAAACAGCTACACAATCACTATCTAATATCAGATAGAATTCAGTAACGATTATTTGAGCAACAACTAATTTAAACATCATTTGGAGACCTAATAAATGAAAAACAAAATTATATATATATTTTTAACATTAATATTAAGAATAGCTTTTACTCACGATATGAGTCTGTATGTACATGTTTTAATAAGATATCGTCACTGATAAAAGTAATTGGCCAAGGCCATATAGATGCTGATGTCAAAATAAGTGGTTTTAATAATTCGATATCCCTTGGTGGTACTAAGAACATCACTTCTTTAATATGTAATGGATCAAGATGAATAAGAAGGGCAACAAGAGTTAATGGTAATCGATGAAATTCAGGTTTAGCTGTTACAATAACGATGGTTAAAGACAACGAGTCTTTCTTCAAATTTACTTGATTTTCATTGTTTTTATGAGCATTTGAAATTGATAATGATAATGTTTTCTGATCAAAATAAGGCCAATGTTGAGAAACTGTTGATAAATTGACTGGATAACATTCCAGCGGTTGTACTTGTCTAACATCAGTCAACCAAGGAATGTGATATTTTTCTTTAAATATAAATTTTGGATAACCATTCAAAAGAAGCAAAAATATAATTAGTCCTATGACATAAAACTGATATTTCGAACGTCCTGCTCGAGATAAAAAATATCCTCCGTTATTTACTATCTAGAGCAAGAAAAAACATAAATAAAATATTTAATCAAACATAAAAATATTCAACATACAATTCTTCTGATAAGGCTCATAATTTAAGAAAATATTGCTCAATACTCATGAACCACACAGATATCAACCAATTATCTAAACAGAAGAAAGCATACACATCTGGTGAGATATACAATTAGTTGGTATATATTTGAGAAATTTGGCTTATCCAGGTTTTATATAGGAATGATACAAAGGAGAAAAGTGAGAAGTGCACCCATAAAGGATCGACAGGAATAGTATGTCGTTTCGAAAAGTCTTTTTCCGCATAGTTGCATGCAGTTTAAAAAGATTAGCTCCCACTGATTAGAAACAATAATTTTTAAATGAAAAGTGTAAAGGTGGTGATGATGTGTTGCACCATCCATCGCCACATCTCTAATTTTTAGCAGACTAAAACTGTAGATTTAGGTTTTTCATTCTTAGTTACACGTATAAAAACGTAGGATCGACTGCGGCATGTTGAATAATTAAAACCAAACGTTCTGAAATTACTTCGTTGTAATTATTCCCTTTTCCTTTTTCATGGCTGTAACCGTCTTCTTGAAGTAAGAATTGGATGTAACTTCAAGCATAAGATTTATGTGGATGAATATTTTGTGTCATTGTAATCAACACAAAACTAGAAAAGTCTGAGTTCGGACTCACGACCTTTTTTGGGACCCAGAACTTAATGATAACATTAAACGTACCGATCCATGTGCGTATTCTGTGGAGAGAGAATGTTAAATTTTTTCGTAACCAGAATTTTCAACTAGACAATAAAGATTAAATATATCAAAAGAAATTCATCTGTACTACAAATGTTAAAGTATAATAACATATTGTTATACATTTTTTTGCAGAATAACAAAACATAAAGTAATATTTTGGAAAAATTTTTAGAAAATAAATTTCAGAGTCGAAATTAGTGCTCTTCAATTATGAATCAGCGCATTGACGTCAGTCGACTAAAATATTATTCTGCTCAAAATGAGTGTGCCGATGGATGCTGCATTTTTTTACATGCCTCAAAAATAGAGATATTTCTCCATTCAACCCTTGAAAGCAACGGTTGCGGAGAAACCATCTTGTTGGAAAATATGAAATAAATGTTCAATTAAGTTCAAATTTATACCACAGACAGAATATCTCTAAAAATCGATGCATTTTTTTGACCTGGTCTTCCATGGGTTTTTCGGATAAACTCGACTTTCATCCATGTACATTACGATTCTATCAAAACTTCATTCGATCGTGCTTAAAATTTTACCACAGGTACGTGAAACCATATCTCAGAATGCAAATGTTTTCTTTGGCTTCTGATATTTTCTTCTCGGGTATAAACCCCGGATATATTAAGTATAAACCCTACTTAAAATCTCGAATTTTGCTTTTGGATATCCTATAACTCGGAAAGAAAAAACCAAAAGTAAAAAAAAAGACATTTGCATTCTGAGATATGGTTTCACATATCTGTGGTAAAATTTTGAGCACGATCGAACGAGATTTTGATAGAGTCGTAATGTACATGGATAAAAGCCGAGGTTTTCCGGAAAACCCACGGAAGACTATGTCAACAAAATCCGAGCAAAAATGCATCGATTTTCAGTTTCGACCTTCTGTCTCTGGTATAAATTTGAACTCAATCAGACATTCAATCTACATTTTCTAACAAGATGGAAAAAGAAGAGATGGGGGGGATTGGTACCTCTAAACAGCTAGTTATCTGTCTGTAAATGCTTGGTTATGAATTACATGGGTCATAAGTGCAACACCTTTGAATATTTTAAAGTATAACTGACTGTTGTTGAATACATTTAATATTTACCTCAGCCATACTGTTTCTTTGTGGGAGTTGTAAACATTTGATTCAATTAGAATAAATTGAAAATCATTCTAAAAATCAATCAAGTTATGATGAGCGAAATATTTTATAATTACAATGACACACAAAAAAAAAAATGAAAACAGAAGTAATCTAATCGGATTTTTTCATAAGTAATACGATTGTCTCTCCTACAAATGAATTAGCCGTTTGAACATCAGGTTCTACATTCGAAGTTGGTCACTGTCAAAAAGCACAAGTTAAAGATCAAACAGTTCAGACATTTTTGATGTTTTGCTTCTTGTGTACAATAGAATAATGCTCTACTCTGATTCATTAGGTCTTTTTATTTATCATACATATTTTATAGCTCTAATTTAAATTCAAAGCATAAAATATTCGACACTCTTTTACGTTTCGAAATATATTCTCCATTCGCAGTTTCATCTATTTTACAATAAGTATTCTATGTTTTTAATGATGCCACTTTTTTTTTTCTTCTTTTTCTATGAGCAAATTATGAGTAGTGTTTTGACTGCAAATAAAAGTAATAGAACGAATGATTTATAATGTGTGCCATTTGCCATTTGATTTAAAAATGATTTTTTGATGAATTAAGAAACACCTTCTATCTCTTAGACAATATAAAACTAAATAATTAAAATCTACGCATACTTTATTACCTTTTTCTTATCTTTAAATATACACTCAAAGAATATTTTCTTGCTTATTTTCATTTTTTCATCTAACAGTCCAAAGAAAAGACGATAAATACCGGGATTACATTAGAAAGTAAAAAAAAAAGAAGAATAACAATAAGCAACAACAATTTTGTAATCCAATAATAATGTAAAGCTAAATTATAAGGCAAAAAACAGCCATATTTTAATTCATTTCTAAATAAAAAGAACAGCAACAATAAATGATAACATTTTTTACAGTAACAACAAAAATGAAAAGAAAACGACCAAAAAACAAATGTTACACAAAAATATATACAAATAAAAAGAAGAAAACAAAAATCTATGATATCGAACGAAAAAATGGTATCTGACTAAATAAATAGTAGAAGTGAATATAACAAATAACAACAGAGTTAATTACACTTTTATGCTACACTACTATCTTTATCATCGTCACTGTCGCCTAATAAAATAATATCGCCGTTATTATTATTACTATTATTAGGATTAGTCGTTAAATTTTGTGAATCGATGGTTGTAGATGATGAACCAATTGTCTCATTTAAACGTACACGATTTGCTCGCCGTTGTGTTGGTAATCTTTGATGATCTAAACAAATACAATAAATTGACTATGTGTAATTATTGTTATCTAACAACATAATATTACCTGTTGTTTGTGGACGATTTGTTCGTTGTTGTTCTGTTGATGTATTACTATTATTTTGCAAATGCATTTGTCGTTGATGTCTTAATTGAATCGCTTGATCATAGGCATATTGAGCAACTTTTTCCATATCAACATTTGAACGTTCATTTTCTGATATATTCTGAAGTAATTGTCGAAATATATCTTGTGCTGTGAGTAAATGTTGATCCGTTGTTGTTGATGGTAATAAACTTGGAGCTTGATTTTGACTTGATCCAATCATAGTTAAAAATTGATGTTGTATCATTTCTTGTAAACGTTGTTGCTGTAAACGTTGTTGTATGAGACGTTGTTGATAATTATCTGGTTGTTTTTTCAAATTTTCATATTCTTCAATAGCTATTTTTTTTTCATCAGCACTTAAACCTTCATCTAAACGATTTTCTAATAATGAATCATGACTATGATAACTATGTATCCACTGATTATGTTGATATAATAAATCAGTTAATAGATGATCTTTTGGTATGGGAAAGTTGACATCATCAATTATTTCTTGTTCAGATCTGGCTGGTGGAAGTGGTTTAGGAGTAAAATTGTACAATTCTTTGAGATCAGCTTCAGAAAAATGTCTTGTCAATTGATGATCATCAATAACACTAAAACAAGAATAAAGATTTTAGCAACATTTTAGAAAAATAATAAAACATTTACCGTTGTGATAATGATTGTTTAATAACTTGTCGTTGGTAAATCTTTTCTTCCATTGTACCATGGGCCAAAAAACGGTAAATATAAACAGGTTTCGTTTGTCCAAAACGATAACTACGAAAAATTGCTTGAGTGTCAACACTAAAAAGAGGAATAAAAAACATTTCAACTTCATTTATGTTGTAATGCACAATGTTATTTATAACAACATCACGATCATTTCACGTTTCACTATTTTCTTGTTTTTGTATCTTTCGAACAAAAGGACGTTCGACTGTCTCATTTTGTGACGAAAAGTGTGTGTAACAAGATGAGACATGTTAGCACTCTTCACAGTTCTTAACTATGGAGATATCAACAAGACGGAGACATACGTTGTTCAACATATCTTCATAGCTAAGAACTGTGAAGAGCGCTAACATGTCTCATCTTGTTACACACACTTTTCGTCACAAAATGAGACGTTAACGTAAAGTTAACTCAATAACATTTTGAGTGTCTTTCTAAAGTAACATGGATAATGTACCTTGGATTCCAAGAGGCATCAAACACAATAACACGATTAGATCCAATTAGATTAATGCCTACACCACCAGCCAATGTTGATATCAAAAATAATCTTGCTCGCAAATTATTTTCATCATTAAATGATTTTGCATAACGTTTGCGTAATTGAACATCGGTTGATCCATCCATACGAAAATAATCGATATCTTTTATCCATTGTACTGATTCTGGTATATTTTCAAGTATTTGACTAATATCTATCGTTGACTTTTGATTCTCGTTATCTGTACAGTTTATCTCACTACCGTTACCATTTTCTAATAATCTGACAAGTTCACGACGTTTTTCTAATTTATCATTGTAAATTTTTTCATTTTCCACGTGAATATGTCTTAAAAATTTTTCAATATAATTTAATGTATATAAACTTCTACTAAATAATAAAAGTTTATCTCCAATTTCAGAGCATTTTTCTAAAATAGATTTTAAAATCGTCATTTTTCCACTCAGTTGTATATTAAATTCATCCTCATCGTTCATAAAAGGAAACCACCATTGTTGACGCATTTCACTCATCCACGGAGCATCCTCAGTTTCATTATCAACATCTACGCCATTACCATTCAGTTCTATTTTATTGGCAAGTACATTATTATCCCCACCATTATCAAATATATCCGAATTAGTGTGGATTGTAGTTAGTCTCTTTTTTGTTGTTGATTTATTTTCAGTAGTTGTATTAGCATATGCAGCTCGACTACGTGTTGTTCGACGAACGACAATTTCATCACAACTGTTTTCATCTGATTTGTGCTCCTTAGTATACTTATCAAGATTAATTTCTTCAACATCCGAGGATGTTGTGGATGCCAAAGACAAAGATGTTGCTGTTGAAGATGATGCATTTCGTTGTTTTTGTTTTGAATGAGTACTTGTTATATCTTTATCAATTTCCGGAAGTTCAACATCATCTTCAATATTATCAATCATAAAACCTCGAAAACGTTGATTATCTGTTTTTATATCAATTTCTTCGATTTCATCGATACCATCTGTTTGTTTTTTCAATGATTGCTAAAAATGAATAGAATTTTGTTGACCAAATACCGACTGTTAGATATTAACTGTAGGTAGAAACCAGTTGACATATTGGTACACCACTAACCTTCTTCTTTCTTCTTCTCTCATTTTCTTCATCTTCATCTGTGAATATTGCCTCAAATTCTTCATCATCATCAATCAAATCATTCATTAAACGTCGTCGATATTGATCAACAAAATGTGGTCTCAATATAAATGGATGTGTCCAAATCTGAATGAGAATAAGGAAAATGTATATAAAAATTATATAATATATATTTTTTCTTTCTATTATACCTTCATTAAATACTGATAATCTGTAAATAATTTTGTACTTTGAAAATTTTTTTTTGATACAACCGATGTTGATTGTCCATCAACTTCACGTTTTAAATACATTTCGTATAATGTTTGTTGAAGATCACACATTCTTATAGTAATAATATATTCAAATTTAGGTGGTAAATAGTTTTTTAATAGTGAATAGTCACGTCTATCAACACATCCGGTTAATAAATCATGTAAAACACAAGCACGCCGTTTCATCAGTTTAACCTGGAAAAAATAAGAAGAATATATCCAGCATAAATTACTTCTGTATAATTTCAACAAAAAAAAAATCTTACATCATCCATATTACTATCACGATGTTGACCATTTTGAATTGGATTAACAAAACGATTGATAAATTCTTGTTGTGTACCAAGTAGATTGGGTTTAATAAAATTAACCATACAAAAATATTCAATTAAATTATTTTGTAATGGTGTGCCTGTTAATACAACTCGACGTGCTGTTTTCACCTGATTAACAGCTTTACCAAGAGCTGTTTGAGAATTTTTCAAAATATGTCCTTCATCACAAACAATAATATCGGGTCCCGGATTCACCAAACATTCCTGTGCTTTTAATTTTGATTGTTTTTTCTTTATACCAATTCCATTAGCTAAGCGACGATACATCTCATAGCCCATAATTACAACGCCACCATTTTCTTTCCAATAATTTAACTGTGGAATACGAGCACTCAATTTCATTGATGTTATCTGATAAATATCAATTTTTGGTTCAATATTTTCAAGCCAATATTCAAATTCGGTACTCCAATTCAAGGCAGCATTAATTGGACACAAGACAAGACATGTACGAATATGAGTGAGATTTTCATGCTTAAATAATGTATGAATAAATGATATAACTTGTAACGTTTTTCCTAAATAAACAATAACAAATTTAAAATGATTATTCAAATCTATTTCTGCAATAGTTGTTTTCTGACGTAAAAAGATTTTAAAAAAAATAGGACATATTTCAACACTTAGATGTTCAACCTACGAAACATCAGAATGCCTAGAACAAATGGAATATTTCTAATAAAACTTCTTATCGAATATATAACAATTTTTATACCTAAACCCATACAATGAGCCAATAATGCCCCATTTCCACGATGTGTCTTATGTCGTTTATCGTTAATAGCCTCTAACGATTCAAATAAATTATTCCATAGAAATTGTACACCTTCTAATTGATGTTGTTTCATATTTTTCACTAATTTTGGATCAACTTAAATGTAGAAAAAGATTATGTATGTATATATCTATGATTTAGATAATATTGAAGATAGACGTATACCTTCAATTAATGGTTCATTGGTTTCTTTATTCATTTCTAATATTAATTTTTTATTTATATCATTTTTATTTCGATCTAAATAACCAGATTGACTTAACAATATTTCATTATATTCTTTTTGTTTTTGTTCGATTCGTTTTCGTCGTTCTTTCTCCGCTTCAACGGCAGATTTTGTTTGAGCTTGTAATTCCTAAAATAGACAAAAATAGCGGGAATTATGATTTTTAAATCATAAAAAAAAAGGGAAGTTAGAAACATTGTATCAGTTGTTTTCAGTTCAAACAGACAAAATATATAATAAACGAATAGTTTACTTTATCTTTGATGATTTTTCGAATATTTTTTCGACCTTTTCTTGTTGACGATTCAGTATCGTCTTTATCATCATCATTATTATTGTTATCATCTGTATCGGATATTGATTCATCGTCACTATTCTCTTGAATGTTGTTTGTTGTTGCATCTACATCTGTCAGATCATTATCATCAATTTCAGTTTTTTTCTTCTTATTTTTTTGTATCGTTTTTTTCTTAATTAATTTTAATAGTGATTTTCGTTCATTATCTCTGGTTCTTTTTCTCGATGTTCGCTTATTATCATCGGATGATTCATCTTTTTCTGACGATGATGAACGTTTAACAACTACACGTTTCTTTTTATATAACTGCTTTTTATGCCTTCGAATATTATTACTGTGATTACTATCATCATCGTCTGAAGTAGAAGTGCTTAAGTATTGTTTTTCAGTTAATCGACGAATAGTTGTTTTTTTTATTTGTGAATCATTTTCATCAGATTTTCGTTGACGTTTTTTCGTTAATGGTTCATCGTCACTATCCAATTTGTTTTTACCACGTAGTATCATGTTTTCATCCGAACTTGACGATGATAATAAACGACGATCATGTAATAAATGGGCATACGTAGGTATCCTCTCCCTAGAACAAATAAATAAAATAGTAATTTAATTATTGTTCTTGATATACACCAAATGAAAATAAATGTCTACTATTTAACATACTGATGAGAATAGAGATAAAATTCTCGCTGAAACCAAATTTCTTAGAACCATTGCTATAATATAGTTTAATTTCTCTAACATAGTTTTGCTGAACATATTTCTTCAGATACATAACATTGTTTATTATTAAAAATACACAATAAAACCAACTGAGGCAAAAAACAAAACAAAATAATTTTTAACTATCTTTTTTTGACTGTGAAATCACATCTATACATGCACATAGTATAGAATTATGAAGAATGAGTATGCTCATTTATTCTAAAATTAAATTATTTGTTCTGTTGTTTTTTCCAAAATATAAAACCAAAATATAAATTTCAAAAAATATTGTTCGTCTTTTCAAGATAAAAATAAAATCATCAAAAACAAATGAAAGACCTAACAGAAACATTTCTTTTGAGAATACACACACACACACACACAAAAGCAAACAAATAAAAAAAAATTTCTTGGCTAAAAATAAAGTTTGTCTTCATTTGCCTAAAATCGGCACTGTCTCGTCAACATTTGATTTATGCACAAATTTAAAATAAATAAACACATAATCGTCAACCAGTGAGCATCATGATCGTATTTCTAAATCAAGAAAATGAAAAAAAACAAACTCTCTAGTTTATAGATAGATATACGGTACAATAAAAAACAGGTGATATTTTTTCACCACTCGAGGCAGTAAATTTGTTGGTAATTATTTTTTAATGAATCAAGAATTAGCGAACATGTAGTTGTAGAGCAAAAATGAACCACGATAAAAACGAATTACATCACAAGGAGTACAGTTAAATGATTGCTGATATTTGAACTTATACTAAGTCAACAAAATAAAAACTTTGATTTCATGTAATTTTTAAAACATCAAACATATATAATGAGTGCCCATATCATCATAAATTTTTTTCCGATTCTCGAAAACCAATTCAACATTGAGGAGAAAACCCTTCAATTGTATGAGTATAATTACCTGTGTAGTATACGTATGAATCATTTTATAGGAGAAAAAATAATTGGATAATTAAGGAACAGTCTTTGTGTCAAAAGACTTGACGTCTATCTATACATTTTTGTTTTACGACTCACACTTATAGGAGAACATTAACAAGACTCAATTTTACATTTTAAAGAAAAATTATTCATTGAAAGACAAAAAGGCAAAAAATATTAGATGCTGACTAGAGAATAGGTAGTATCAAACACACAACGAAAAGAGCATCTGGTTTTCATTCAATTTCAGCGAGAAGTACAGAGGAACAAAACATTTTTGAACGAGACGTTAATCAATTGAATTCCAACTAACATGTAAATCAAAAATCATTCATATTAGCGAAAACGTAATGGAATAAATATATCAGTGGTATGGTCAATTTATGCAGGAAAAGAACATATGTGTTTACCTTGTGTCTATTAAATTGTCTTCATCGACTGGATTAGAATCTACTACTGCATTATCTGAATTCTGTTCATTTATTTGTTGCGATGATGTTGCGATATCTTCAGTATCTTTCGCTGTTGAATATGTTATCGATGATGCAATCGTCGTCATTGTTGTTAGTGGAGCTAATAACTCTTCATTATCATTGCTTTGATGCGATGATTGATTTTCTACTAACAATGGTATTTCCTCTTGTTGTTCATCTGTTGTTGTAACTACTTCATCACATACATGTGTTGGTTGTTCAGTTATCTGTTCTTCATTTATATCATTTGTTTTTTGTTTTTTACGTTGCTGCATATCTGAGTGATTACTGTCATCATCTTGTATTTTATCTTGTTCGTCAACATTCATGTGTATTTTAATAATATCTGACTCTTTTTCTTTTCGTTTTTTGATTTTTTCATCTTTGGAACGTTTTTTTGATTGTGAATTTCGTCTTGTTGTGGATTTTTGTTTATTTTTCTTCAAATATACGATTGGTAATGTGTCTGTTAGATTATCGTCATCGGTTGTTGTTGTTACTGTAGAAGAAGAAACGTTATTTCTGTGTTCATTTTCTTTTTCGGACGACGTTGGCGTTTTATCATTTTCTTTTGGCGTCGTAATAGCAACTATCTGTTCTTGTTCTTCTGACGGCGCTTTGTAAAGTTTTCTACCATTTTGTAATATACCATCTAGACCTGAACAATGTTCTGTTTGATCAATTTCATCATCAGGACTACACAATATGTTATCAGTATCACATGAATTTGAAACAAGACGTTCTTTAGAATGTGATTCTGTTTTATCGTCTTCTGTTACATCAACTTGTTTTTCATTGTTAGTTAATAATAATGATGACTTGGTAGATGATTTGCTCTCAATCCGTTGTTTGCGTTTTGGTTTTGATTTCTGATTATCGATATCACTTGCTGAAAGATATAAAAGAAAACCAATGATTGAACTGAAGATTTCAGAACCTTCTATACGCAGTGCAGTAGTATGAATAATTAATCAAAAAGTACTTCATCGTACAAACTCTGATAAGTGTAACGAGAATCGTTTAAGATATTAGAAATACAAGTAAAAAATGAAGATTATCTGCAAAAATTTCGCGACTTGTCTAAAGTGAAGGGATACCTTTCTCTCTTCCATCGCCTGGTCGACAAAGATTCTACTGAACTCAAATTTTTTATCATAGATAGAGCATTAGAAAAATAACAAAAATGAAATAAAAAACTTCAAGTCTGACATATCGTCGTCAAGTATGCGTGAAAAATGTTCACTCTGATTGAATGAAGCTTCGATGGTATTATAATTTAAGTTCAGGAAATTGTATTATACACATTACTTTTTCAAGACTTTTGAGGCCAACTCTAGAACTGTCTGAGGAGATACGTGGAAAGTCTGAAGACTTTGTATTGAGAGAGGGACCACTTCGCTCTGCAAAGGTCTTATTCGATTTTGAAAATTTAGTTAGAAAGCGATGGATTACACTGGGGAGAATGCCAGCACTTTCCGAAGTCTATGCATTAAAGACACTCGGCTGGGATATTTTAAGATAAGCTTTTTAAAAATACTTTTGTGCGATGATTATTCAATTATCAACAAAAAAAGCATTATAAAATCACACTTATTCGATGAACATATTATCCAACATACTGTCTGAAGTTGATGTTGCTAATTTTAAAATTTTTTTTCTGACTTGTGGAGTATTTGACGATGATCCATTTTCACTGGATTGTGTTGGTTGACGATGATGACGACGACGAAGTGATAGAGTGGCTAAATTAAACTAAAAACATATATAGAAACAACTATCAAGTATTATTAACATACGGGAAGTAATATCTGGAAACGAGCTTTCAGCAAGTGCATCAGGAACGCGTTTAATTCGAATAACGCAATCTTCAAAAATACCGTCACTGTCTGTTTCACTTTGTGTTTCTTTTGATTTTGATGATGAATAATGTTCTTCTTCACTGTCTTTAATTAATGTTGAACGTTGATGTTTTTCTTCATTGACTGTTGTTGTTGTTGTGGTTTTAGCTAACGATTTTGTTGATTCTTCTTTCTCACTCGTTTCGCTACTGTCAGCGAGTAATTCAGATCGCTTTTGTTCTTCTTCCACATTGTTGGCTTTATTTTCTAAGATGACAAACAAAAGAAACGATGAGTCTTTAAATTCAGAGACTCAGCAATTTCTAACATTAGATATTTCGTTTTAACTTGGTAAAAGAGATTTTACCACTTCTGACATTGTATAATCAACACTCACCTAATATTAATTCTAATTCTATGAGTTTTTTTAATAATGTCTTTTTTAATATTTTATTTTTAACATTTTCTTCAATCCATTTATTCTTGAAGATTTTGATCCATTCAATGGATTTCTCAATAGTTGACATTTCTTTTATTGTGAATAAGACAGACAATTATCTGAAAATATACATTTGATCTAGTTATATATCTGGTTCTTTCTTTTGTATTTCAACACATGGTCAAGTTCTTTTTTTAAACTTAATGAACCATAACTTATTCTCTCTAGATGAACTACAATGGTATCTTATTCAAAATCCATTTTAAACATATTTCTCAAAAAAATTCGTAGAGATATTCATATTAAAAAGAGAAAAAAGTTTTCTATTATTTTAGCTAAATTTTTTTAATTTAAATATACGTTCACAAAAGAAAAGTTCTAAAAATACGAAACCAGATGTCGCTTTAGTATTATTTAGGTTTAATCAAAAACGAAATTTTCTACTTTTTTTTTAATGCCAAATCTGCCGTTGCTACTCCTAGGGTTAATCTATAATATCATATCGTTTTGGAGGTACCGGGCTTTAATTAGTAGCGAATATATTTGAAAACTTATAATTGGAATATTTAATTTTTATACTGCATTTAATGATTTATGATCTCAATTTATTTGCCTCTTGTATATATACTGCAGTATGATAATGGTTCATTATATATACACAGAAATTAAAAAAAGTTGGACGCGAAGGTTAAGCACAAAACTCGAGTTTTATCTACAAAAAATGAAAAATACGTTGACTGCAATTTTGACGTTTGATTTAACTTTTGTCTCTAGAATTGGACTCACATTTGTATAGGGTGGGGGTGGTACCAATGCATTATAAAACTGGTTCCTCCATAGTATACTGATGTAGGAAAAAAAGAGTGCGAAGGATTTTTTGCACATTTATATACTAAGAGACGACTTTGATGAATTTGCTCTTGACAGAGGTCATATTTCTGAACACTGTAGATATCGGAGTGCGCCACAATCGGTTAAGAGTGTTTTCATTCGTTCTTTATACACACAGTATAATATAATGCAGGAACAACAACGCAACATTCGATGTGCTTCGCAGATTTCATAGGATAAGATAAACTCCATAAATGTGAATAATCGCCACCATATCGATAATTTTCACAAACTAGATCTGACAAATACAAATCCATTTAAATCAAGGCTGTCCTGAGTAGGACGCAGCAACCCAGGTGAAACACGTCTTGATCCCATGTTTTCTTGTAAAATCTTGTAATAAGGTCTTACGATATGATCATACAAGACCTTATTATAAGATAATATAAGATCTTATGGAATCTTGTAACTTCTTGTTATAAGATCCCCCAAGATCTGGTTATGAGAAGTGACAAG